TTAATGCAGGTTAAGGAGATGGCTTAGGCTATTGATTTTCCGAAACCAGTCGTTCACAAAACTATCTTTGATCGGCTAGGGTATCTCGTTGGGTCCCGAAAGATCGTCCAGTCCAGGTATGTGCACGGACGCACGTGTGTGTGTGTGTGTGTGTGTGTGTGTGTGTGTGTGTGTGTGTGTGTGTGTGTGTGTGTGTGTGTGAGGGTGTGTGTTGTATGTGTATGTATGATAACTTTTTAGTAAAGAATGGGTACACTAGATTTAGATGCTTTTTTTCGCCGGGGTTACTATCGGATACATGTATGTAGTTAATAGTAAGCAAAGTGTGTACCTAAGACTCCACTGCAATGCGCTGGGGGTAAAATAGTAATGCATTATTTTTTTTGGTAAGTTTTACGGCGCTCACAACTGCATACGGCCATATAAGAACGCGCGGAATACGTTTGACATTTTCATTTTGGTAGGAATTAATTTTGAATTCTGCTCGGGCGGCTGCTTAAGCCTGCTCTTGTCAATTTTAGGAACACTAAGGGATCTTTAATATGTGCAACTCGCACACGGAATTTTAGGTATTTTTTCGCCCTTTCTCAAGGAGGCTATGTGTTAAATCCCTTATCTAAGGGTTTTGGTTGAAAGACAGCAGTAAGAAGTAGCAGTACAAAGGCTGCAAAAAGAGTCAGAAGCCGGGAGAAGGGGGCAAAGAGGGGAAAATTGGAAGGGGGGAGGAGGGGACAGAAAGTGGAGACGAGAGCAGACGGCAGAACAAGGCAAGAGAGCAGAAAGGAGGTGAAAGGAAAACCTTTTTACCCTTAAAGAAGAAAAGATTCCCCGTCGCTTTCAGGTCTCAAACCAGGGACCTGTTGAATGAGAGGCGAACATCGTACCCACAAGATCACGAGAGCTCCAGTAAGTAAAGTGTCTGCTGGGGTACAGTAACTTGAATAAGGCATGAGTGCGACTGGCACTCCCCGAGGCGCATTCTGTGAAACGTCTTGGCATGGACCTATCAGACCTTTTATCGATTACTAAACTATGTGTGTGTCTGTGCGTGTGCGTATGTGTGTACGTGTGTGTGTGTGTGTGTGTGTGTGTGTGTGTGTGTGTGTGTG